CTACCTTTCTCTCTCTCTCTCTCTCTCTCTCTCTCTCTCTCTCTCTCTCTCTCTCTCTCTCTCTCTCTCTCTCTCTCTCTCTCTTTTAAAATTACTTATTTATTACGTATACAAAATTCTGTCTGTGTGTATGCCTGCAGGCCAGAAGAGGGCACCAGACCCCATTACAGATGGTTGTGAGCCACCATGTGGTTGCTGGGAATTGAACTCAGGACCTTTGGAAGAGCAGGCAATGCTCTTAACCACTGAGCCATCTCTCCAACCCCTAGGTCTCTCTTTTGAAACAAGAGAATATTAGTAGGCATTTTGAGAGTGTACTCTTCTGACTCTGTTATCAGTAAAGCAAAGTCTTGCCGTCTTAAGCCAATCTACATGGTATATCACTGTTTATTAAAAAACATTTTAATATGCAGGAACTAGATAAAGGCTCAGTCAGTGAGGTGCTTACTGAAGAAGCATGAGAAATGAGTTTTACCCAATGGCACTCATATTAAAAGACAGAAGCAGTGATGTGTGCCTGTAAACTCACTCCTAGAGAAACAGGAATAGGGAGATTCCTGCTATTTTCTAGCCATAGATTCTTTTCACATTGGCAAAGCTCCAAGTTCTGGAAGCAAAGTCATCTTAAGAAATAAGATTGAGAGACGTAGAAGAAGAAATCTGGAATCAAACACACACACACACACACACACACACACACACACACACACACACACACAGACACCTACATTCTTTTAGTAGAAATTCAATAAGTATAGCTTGAGAAAGAACTATCCACACTTGAATATTATTATAATCAATAGAAACTATATACATTTAAACATCATTGTTCTGTTTATAAGACACAGTCATCATACAGTCTTCAAATAGTAAAAACAAATGTGGGTTTTTGAACACTTGATTAATATGCAATGCCTAGAAGCTAAACATTCATTAATTAGAGACTTATCTCAGATTTTCTCATGTATATCTCTTAGCTCTCACTGAAATAGCTTCCAAAAATCTTTCTTTTAATTACTCTATGGGCTATAAACAAGGTGTTTGCAAAAAGGTTCTAAGACAGAGATCCTTAACTTTTCTAATGCTGTGACCCTTTAATACATCTCCTCATGGTGTGGTGACCTTCAACCATAAAATTATTTTCATTGCTTTTTCATAAATGTAATTTTATCACTGTCATAAATCATAACCTAAATATATGTGTTTTCTGATAGTCTTAGTTAAGCCCTGTGATAGGGTCACTCAATCCCCATGAGGGTCTTTACCCACAGGTTGAGAACTCCTGTTCTAAGAGAACCAGCAACATGTGCTCATCTTTGTCATAAACTGAGGAATAGTCAGAGCTGTTATTTCAAATATTTTTAACTTGATATTTCAACCACAGTTAAATTTTTTAACATAGCATGCTGACATTTTACTATGACTTTACAGTTGTAACTAAATGAGATTAGTTGATGTGTTATCTGATTAAATTTTGCCACAGAGAACAAAACAGTAATTTTGTAATTCATATTTTTTTACAAGTGTCACAGCTCAAAGTTCAACTTGAAATAATTATATAAATTTATTTTTCCAAAATGTTCCCTGAAAAAAATTACTGAGAGAGAATTAATAAAAATCAAGTGATGGTGTGCTAAATATAAGAAAGCTGTAAATAACATTTTTGATTGCTTAGCCAAAATAATTTGTGTGGTATTTCTGAATGTTAACTGTACTGATTCAGGATAACTCTCAAGACACTTTCAAATTCATTTTATATAAATGACATCCTTATACAATTCCCTTTGGATTTTAACTAATTTAGTAGTGAATTTTGAGGTATTTAAATCTCATACAATTATTCTTTGACACTAATAGAGAATGTTAAAAATTAGCAAAGCGTGCTTTATAATTTAGAACAGATCTTTGCTGCAGGTGTGGTATTAAACAGTAAGTGCTATGATCCTTTAATTCTTTAATTAATTGTTTATATTTTTGTCTCTCACAATTTTATAAAACATAGATGTAGAAATATTTTAAAAATGAGAGCTATTACCTCTGAGTCAAAATGTCATAACATTTGAAACTATGACTCTTCTAGGATATTAATGAAATAAATTGCCATGAATAGATGACATTTTATGTGTTATATGATTGTACTCAAGAGTCAAGAATTTAGCATAACATAATAAGTGCACTGTATCATTTGCAACTTATGTTCAGAATTGAGAATTACTTTCTCTTTCCTAAAAGGTAGCAATGCCTGTTTCCCAAGTCCAAATTGTAACCCCTTTACATGGCTGTTTTTCCTGGTTTCCTGTCCTAACTACACCTATGAGGTATGTTGTTTACAAATAACTGAATAGTATTCTATATATACTAAACCCACAACTTTGTGCTTTAAATATATTATATGCAGTCTGCAGATCGATATTTTCCAAAGATAATGACTGGAAAATTAATATTCTACATAAATACATGTATACTTAGTATATTTGCAAGTTTTATATAACATAGCATGAGATATATCCGAATGTTGAGTATAGCAAATATTTTAAAATGATGCTCATTTCTAATGTGAATTTCACGATATTTTATGGCCCTTTATGGCTTTCATATGTAAAGGCTATTAGTATAATTTCTTTGTATACATAACTTTTATAATGTTTTAAGATTTCAAATTACTTATAAAATCACAAGTGACTAGATGAGCCACAGTGTCTGTTAACCTTAAATTTTTATTTTAACAGATTGGATCCTGGATTAGTTTCACAGTAATGACACAAACACTTCCAGGTAATCTTAATATTTATTGACAATTAATCATCATGGGATCATCTGTAGGAGAAATAACTTATGCAAATGAGTTACTCTCCCACTAACATAGAAGATTTTTGTACTAATATACTGCATGTGCATTTTTATTTTCGTAGTGATTTTTAGTCTTCAAATACTGAAATATTATCTCCTATTTGTCCTGATATAACTGAAAGTTAATTCAAGGCAGGGAATACAATTGAAGTATATGATTGATTGTGGACTTCACTGAAAGGTACCTCTTTTGTGGATATACATCTGTAAACAGTGGACTGCGGAAAGCTGATTGCAAAATTTTGAAAACTTGAAATTTTAACATAAAAAGGAGAGTTGGATCACCCAAGTGCTATACTTAAAAAAAAATATGTAATACCATTGTCATTGATCCATTTACCAGTTACGAATTATCATTAGCTTAGTATATATACATATATACAAAGTGTGAAAATAGTATACACACACACACACACATATATATATGTATACTTATAGACTGCATGACTTCTTTTTGAAAAATTTTTGAGAAGAAAATATATAAGGAGTTTTTATAGTTTTTTGTTTATTTATCCTTCAAATAATTTTGTGCATGTATTATTGTTTGCAACAAATAGAAGAAACTTGATAGGAAACTGTTCAGCATTTGGTAAATATTTTTTATCAGAAATTATTTTGTTCTTAAATATAAATCATTGTTTCCATTACAGAAGTATAACAATGTGATTGTTTTGGTTGTTTTCTTTCAGTTGGTATTTTTACAGTTTTAATGAGCATCCAGATGTCTTTGTGGGCCCGAAAGAAGCATCAGATATATCAGAAGAAATTCAACTCATGTGTGCACAGGAAATCAGCAATAATTCCATTCATATTATAAGAAAATATAGTGATTTTCATCTGATCAAAAAGGGAAGCATCTAAATTTACTAATAAAGCCTTAGGAAAAAATAACCAACTACTAGAATACAATAATTTATTAGCAAAAGTATTTTTAACGAAAGAAAATGATGATAGAATTTGGCTAAAAATAGTATGAGCTAGGGGTAATAAAAGGTAGGAGTTAAATTAGGCATGATGAGTCCTGCTAAATAACAGTACGCTAAAACTTGAATCAGGATGTCTGCCAAGAGGGTGAGTTCATGCTAGGTTATGTTAGAGAGTCCATTTTACAATGAAACAGAAGAGAACTGAAAGCTGAAGTTATTAAAAATAAATATTAAAAATAGCATTGAGTTATTTGCAAGAGCTTGATCTTAAAATAAACAGTCTTATTGAATGAATATTTCATAGAACTATTTCATAAGGTAATTTAATTACCTGGTGTCTGGTCTGGTCAGCTGGCCCAGTGCTTAAGAGATTTTTTTTATTTTTTTTTAATAGTGAGAACTTCCCATATTTTATTTGAGCCTTAAAAACCTCCTTCATTATTTTCTTGGATTTTGTGGCAACATTTTTTTTTTGGTTGGAATGTTTCCTGTTTTACATTGCTCTGTGATTAAACATTTTAATAGGTATAAATAATTGTTACTTGAAAACTGTCATCTTTAAACTAGGTGATTAGTGTGTGGCACTCCAAACAGCAACCCAAACACTATCACTTCATTGAAAGAAACTGTAGACCCAAGACTACAAGAAAATAAGCAATTTGTGTTCCTACATCCAAATTTATTTATTTTTTTTAAAAAAAGCTTAAACAGGCTTGATAGACTCATCTTGGTTTTAATAATAAAAAATAGTATAGGTCATATAAATACAAAGAATTTAAAGTTACTAATGAAAACCAATTTAATGCATGTAATGAAAACGAGGCTAAATTTACTTCATTCATCATGAACTTACTCCTTTGGCTACAAAGAAAATAATGGGACAAATATATAGTATCCAACACACAAAAATTTAGAAGTATCTTGAGTCTGCTACAGAGGATCTTCTCTAGAGCCATCACCCTGTTATAGGATTCAAGAATGCATTGCCTCTCCATCTCTAGCATTTTCCAACAATGTTCTTTAGCTCAAGAATTAAAAATTCTAAAATTTAAAACACTATGACTAGTCAGAGATGTGTAATTTTTTTATGTCATGGCACTTTCGCGAAATAAATTTTCCTTTAATTTGTTGCTTTGTAGTTGTATTCCATTTGTCAAAGAAGAGTGAGTCTGTCTTCATGGAGAAAAAAATATTCTTTGAGACTGGACAAGGTTGGTCCCCTCTATCAGTGCAAAACTAGTATCATTTCATTTTATCAAGGTCCAATCAAATGAAAAAAAATCAGCCATATGTCAAATAGGAGTGGAAGCTATAATTGAACCTGCTTGACTTTCCATGTTTATAAGATTTAAAGCAATGCTTGCCATGGCTTTCAAAAACCAGCAGGTTTTTTTTTTGTACTGTTTCTTTCATGTAACTTTGTTGAAAATGCATTTTTATATTTTTTGACAAGATACTTTGTGATTTACATACTAAAATTTTGACAGTTAAGATTATTGGTTTCATAAAATAGAAAACAATTTTAATGCTTACATTTAGAAGGAACAATATAATATATCTAATCTAACCGTTAGTTTTTTATGCATATCTGCTTTGAATAAGACTATTCCAAAATAATTTCCAACAAATTAATTGTTTTAACATACCATAACTTATGTCAAGTATAATTAGGAAACGTACCTAGAGCTATAAACATGAGAAACCAAAGTCTTGAAGCATCAACAGCCAGACCTTCACCCACTGTCACAGTATAGAGATTCTGAACTTAACCCAATATCATTTAATACAGAAATTACTACACTTGTGATATATTTGGTTTTATTTGCTGGTTTGTCTTTTTTATTGATAAACAATTTTATATAATCTATTCTGATCATGATTTTCCTTCCCAAACTCCTGCCTGACTTCCACACTTCTCCACCTCTCTATACCACAGCTCAATGCCTTTTTCTTCTCTCTTCTCTCTGTCATTGCTGTGACCCTATCTGGCTTGCATTCAATAGTCTTGTGAGAACTGCCACAGTCTTTGTGAGTTCAGATATTAGTATCCCTGATGAGTTTTTAAGACCCTCTTTCTTTGAAGTTTTCTGTTAGTTCTGGCTGTTAGAATCGCTCTGCCATATATCTCTCATCAGCATATATCCCTGAGTCTTCAGGAAAGTGGTTCACTTAAGTGAAGACTTGTATCTTTATTTAAATGCTGTGTCCAGATCATAAGCCAAATGGTAAAAATTTTCTGAATTTGTTTGTATATTGACATTTACTTAGGAATGCATCAAATTTTCAAGACATTTCAGCTCAAATAAGTAACTGGTCCCAAGGCAGATCAAAGTCAGATATTGATTTGTGTTAATTATAGCATTTCACACCTAAAATAAAATAAATCATTGAATTAATAATAATAATCTCTTCTATTTGTATTTTGTTAAAGCAAAAAAGGAAGGAAAGTCCTTTGGTTGTTTCAAGATATTCAAAGTGATTACAGCAAATGTTGCTTTATAAGTTCAATTAAAGTTATTTATGACATCTGTTCTTAATGATAATAATTAAAAATCAAGCTTTTCAATGGCTGTAAAAAGCTACTCTTTGCCCAGATGTGTATCAAGGCATATAATTTAGCCTTCCTTTCAAGCAGCTTTGGTGTAGAAAGGTGCAACGTATTTTCAAAGACAGCAATCCTTGCAAACAGGGAACGTTTTAAACTGCAGTTTTAAATGGGAGTTTGGTGGGGTGGGTGCCTGAGAGCTGTGAGATACGTAATACTACAGGGAAGATTTAGAAACTCAATTCACAAGCACCTTTGACTTAACTTGCTTTAGAATAAGAAATATCTCTTTCTGAATTATGAAGTATGGTGCCAGAATAAATTATGATTTATATATATTAAAAAGAATCAAAAAATCACAAGATTTATGTCTCTTTTTTCCTTTCATCAAGTCTCTCTACCAGTTTGGAAAGCTGTATGGTTTCTCTGATGAATGCTGGAATTTCAATTATGTTTTATAATTAATCTTCTAGCTGGTATAACTTCTCCATATCGTATTTTTTCCAATAATTTATATGAATAAGTTTTAGATAGTTAACATTTAAGTTACTATGGGAACCTATAAAGTAGAAGAGAAGGATACCATGAGAAAGCATATAGTACCAAATACTTGTCCCTTCCTGTAAAGGAACATTATACTTGAGTAGGTTCACAGTGCCAGAATCTTGACTGATTGAGATGGCTTACATGCCCACAGTCACATTTGTGATATTGTAATTACAGGAAGAGACTTTTTCACGAATAAAACTAAACAGTGCACGTTCACAGTGAAACTCAATACTGGTCCTTTAAAAAAAGATTCTTCTCTCATACAATATATTCTATCCACAGTTTCCCCTCCTTCCAATCATCCTAGCTTTTCCAATCTTCCCTTTTCCCCAGATTCACTCCCTGGCTGTTTCCTCTTCAGAAAAGAACAGGCCTCCAAGAGAAAACAGCCAAAAGAGACAAAATATGATATAATAAGGCAAAGGAAAACTCTGGATCCTTAAATGCTGTTTATTTTGTTTATGCTACATTGTCTTTTGTTCTGATACTTAATATTTAGAAGCTTTATCAAATTTTTCTCATTGTAAAGAGTGAGTTAATATAAATCTGTTCCTTGTAAACTCAGCCACCGTTATGCAATAGTGTTGCACTAAGGAAAGAAATCAAAGCACATTCTATTTAAATAGTTTAACCATGGCCAATCCCAAGGGTTTTTTTAAGATTTGTTTATATATTATGAATAGTGTTCTGCCTACATGTGTCCTTGCAAGCCAGAAGAGAACACCAGATCTCATTACAGATGGTTGTGAGCCACCATGTGGTTGCTGGGAATTGAACTCAGGACCTCTGGAAGAGCAGTAAGTGCTCTTAACCTCTGAACCACCTCTCCAGCCCAAAGTTTTGTTCTCTACTTTCCACCTTGTGTCTCTGGTTTGACTACTGAATGTCTGCTGTGTGATTATAGCTCATGTGTGTCTGTTGTATGTATCTAAATCTGAGTCTGGCTAAACAATTTCTACTGATGAATCTATCTGTCCTTGTCACTGTCCTTATCAAAGGGTTTTTGCTGTATCTTTATAGAACAGCACAGAATGCATCACATAGGGAAGTAATGAGGGATAAAAAAATTCAGATACATCAGCAGCAATAATGAGACACCTAGTTTTTTTAAAATGAAGCAACAAATAAATATATAAAAGATTCTTAGTTTTTCTATGTGCTTGCTTTGTATGATGCTTTTATAAGTTTATCTCCTGCAAGTTATGAAAAGAAATCATTAACAATTTGATTGTATCTCTGAACTTCAAATACTCATTTAATATTTTATTTCAAAATCTGTACCTACTTCTACAGATATTAACTACCATAATTTTATTATACAACAAGTATTAGTTCAGTAAAAGCACAAAATAAAAAATAAGGTGCAAATGCACTCTAAACATTCTGCTTTGTTGTTAATTATGGATGGATCCATGTGTGTGCAGACTAGTTGAGAGTGTATCTTAGAAACAAAATAGCAGTCTAGCTCTTAAAAACTCATTTAAATATAAGACTAAAAGGCATAAATAGATAATGTTACTCAGTGATATCCACAGAACCTCTGAAATGAAAGTAATAGTTTAGTTTTCCCATGTAGCTTATACAAAAGTAGACTAGCNATGCAAGACTTTTATTATGTCTTAGGCTCATATGTTTGAATGCTTGACCCCCAGTTTTTAGAATTGTTTGAGAAGTTTCTTGTCCCATAGCTGAGGCTAGATTATGTCAGGTTGGTCTTATACATTTGATGGTTGTACCCTAAAATACAGTCTGCCTTTGCATGTGAATGTTCCCTTCTACAAGAGAGGCACAGGAATT